TTAGTATGTGGGGAAGTGCGAGAGGGGGCGGAGAAGTCGTGTATGAGCACCCAAGCAACTTCCTTCCTCATCTTATAACGTTTTCAATTGGACATGGGCCTTTCTTAAATGATGAGGTTTCCACGAGAATTTTTTTAGAATTTGGGTTGATTGTCTCGCAGGAGCCTGTTCAGATACAAGGTCTTTCAAAAATCAGCTGTTGTTCAAAATTGAAATTTCGATCATTCTGGATCTGTTACCTCTCAATAACCTTTTTTTAATGATTAAGTTAATCCTCTTGCCATCAAATTGCACCTTTAGTAAAATAAGTGTCACAAGGAAAAAGTGCAGGTAACTACAGCGTTGTCCTTGAACACTCGTATCGGTACGGCTTGATTATGATATTTGAGCTCACCATACTGAATAACCCCATCAGACGTGTTTTAGTTTCTTCACAGTTATATCTGAGTTAGTGCTAATACCTCTTTAGCCGACGCTAAGCCCACCTACAACTTTTACCGTTATTCTACCGCAACGGAAATCTGTTTCCAGTGCTCTTATAATGTAAAGACCGTCCTCCATTCTGCAATGAGAAGACTTAGAAATTATGAGGTGAAAAAGTTGAAATTATGAGATGAATAAATTTTTACCGATCAAACAGCGCATTTTTTTTGGAACAACATAAACTGGCTCTGACATTGACTCTGACACTATATAAGACCATAGTTATATAATATATAAGACGATAGTAATATTGTGCTTTCAAAAGAACTTGCGACCTATATGCCTTTCTGCTACCCTCAAAGGCCAAAATATCTTCCTATGATTGTAACAAGTTCGGTACAAACTTTGCCGAACTATTAAATCAAATTGAGCCACAAGCGCTTAGTTTGAATAACCACAACAAGAAGTTTTATCATACCACTCAATTTATATTAAATGGTACTTACTCCTTTGCAACCATGAACGTATCAAAAAACGCTATCATAGAAGATAGCAAATTGTCTTTTGCAAAATCAGTTCATCGTTGTTTGGAAAAAACACTCTTAGCGTAGACCTGTCAAGAAGTGATTAGTTGTTTCTATTTTGGGACTCTTTGGAAAATGTCACTCAAAAAACTCCATTGAGAACGTTTTGCTTCTCGAGGGATCTATCACAGAGCTCTTAGTGCCCATCCGTCATCTGTCTTTCTCTGACCAACCAGAAGGAACATTGATCTCATATCCGGACTGCGAAGTCCGAGGATATGTTGCATAGTAAATTTCAAAAGACGTCGTTTTATTTTTTGGATTGTCCGGAGAGCTTTCGGTGTAGCGGTAGTGTCATGCTGCGCCTTCGCTGTATAATAATGCGGTGAAAGAACGTCGAGTGGAATATATAGTCGAAGTTCTGGGTCCATCAGCTGGTCTATTGCTTTCTTAAGAGGCTCAAAAGCGGTTCAGGCTGCATTTCGCTTTTTGTTCAGTCTTTCTTTCACGTCCTTCGTGTTCGTTGAAGCCTATTAAGAAGACGTCTTCGCGATTGGCAACCCTTCCAGGTCTTTTTTTGTCCTTCAGAAGAGTTCCCCATAAACTGAGTCTTTCTTAGGTTGGTTCGCATCCCTATCCTCCATAATTTATTTATTTCTTATAACATCTTCTCCGACTTAATCATATCACTCAAAAAGAGAGAAGTGTTATTCGCAAGACAGTGCTTTGAAAGGAATATTCCATAAACTTGTATATTTTTCATGATGACTTCAACACCCACTGCGAAGCGGCGTGAACATCTTGTTGTATCTCCTTCGAAAAACGCTACGAAGTGATGAAAAAGGCATGCAGTTGTAGAGCAGTTCGTGTAGTAGGCGACCATTTTTCTCACATAACACGTTTTCACCGCTTAGTCGATGATTACTGACAATCTAGCGTTAAATCAGCTTAGTCTCTCTCATAGTCGGTGGGAAAAATTGAGAAGGAGGACAACATTCTCGGTAGACCTTGGTAATCCTCGACGTCTGGATGTGGTTCATAAGGCTAGATTCCTTGCGAAAATTGTCTTGTTCTTCTGTTCACTTTTGGTTTCACTAGTATTTTTAATATGCGAATGAGGATATTCTTCATGGAAAACTTGCAACGCTCTGCAAACAAGAGGAGTCCCCGATGGTAACTTTCAGACTTCTTCTTCGTGCTGCATCCAAAAGTTCCAATCGACTGTTTTGTTTAACAATCTTCTTGTAAAGCTGTTCTTGGTATTGATTATCATTGGCTGGAAATGTGATGCAATCGGGTCCAGCTCTTATGCTCTCCTCTTCTGAAGCAGATCTTTGATGGCTTCCGAAATCCAAGTTCATCGTTTATGGCATTGAGGTGCTCTCACCACAGGCTCCCAGTTCTCTGAGAAGCAGATCGTTTCCCTGGGTTCTCTTTGGTGGGCCAGTCACAAGTGGCCAGGAGCTCCTCCAATCTGGCGCCGTCATATAGAGCTTCTTCCTCCTTCCTTTACCACGATAGGCCAACTTTTT